ATGCTCCCAACTTGTTAAGCTCGCTAATTACAGCCATTGTGCATATAAATCAACCCTTCGCTCGATTTACAGCATAAGAAGGTAATGAGAACTATGTTTTTGGCTGTTTCAAATACGTAATATACATTGGTTAATAACTCTACATTATTCAGTGCTTGTGCACTGCTTAAATAGGAATTGACTAAACTGTTAATTTTAGCAACTAGGAAATGACCGTGGGGTTTCGTTAGCCCAGATCTGCCATTGGTCGACTGAGGACAGATGACGCTGTGTCTTGGTGACGCAGATGAATGCGAGGTACAGTGTTACTTTATAATCTGAAAACAAAATGTGGTGTCTCTTGTGGCGACTAATTGAAATTCTGTATTTAGAATGTGCTTTTGTATGGCCCTAAAATAATTTCCCATCAGACCTGATTTACCTCAAGCCCGCTGAAATTAACGTATCACACGAGGCTAACGGTAGCGTATTTTCTTCAAATTAAGTTACAGTCTGTAATGGTAGCTGAGATATGCTTTTGAATAATATATGCAAAAGAATATTGCAGAGAATCTGTCAATTTAATGTTCCCCAATTTGCACCACTCCATTTACCTACTGCATGCCAGGAACAACCAATGCAATTTAACTGACCTAATGACAAGCAGAAACACTCCTTGCGGATGTGTCTGGACTGAAGAGAAAAAGAACAGCAGGGGTCAAAGTGTAACTGTTAGGAGGTAGGATGGTCAGCCAGACCTAAAGAAACCAGTAATACTGTTATCCAAAATGGCCCCCGAGGGTCCAGGTTGACAATCTCTCCAGGCTCATCGTCAAGTGCCTCACATACATGTATTCAGCCGCAGCGGACAACGACCCAATATTCTTTACACCTAGAAATCACAGAAACATTACTCTTTTCTACGCCGCCGCCTTTGGAAAAAAAAAAAAAAAAACGTCTGACAGGAGAAAACGTTTGGGATGAAAACGACTATTATTGGGGCGGCTGAGTGGACTGGCTGCCGGCTGGATATTCTAACCACACATAAAATGAATCATGTCGGTTTTGTCCCTGAGTGAGTGTCAGTAAAAGAAACACCTCAGGATTTCTTCTTTGTGGCGCACGAACAACTTACGCAGAGTTTTTCTTAAAGGCAGGAATGATCTGTGGCGTTTTGATGTGGAAGAACGGTCAACTACGGGTCTAGAGAAAACCTGTCATCCCCTTAGATCCTAGATGAGTCATTCGTAATATCTCGCCATGTACTCATTCTTCGAGTTTTCTTCTAGAGTTTACATTTTCAGTTTTATTATACTCACAGATGAAAGCTCTTCCTACAATGCTTCTGTTTTGTACTCTATTATGCTGAGGACCCCAGTAGTCAGTGTCAGCACAGATGTTAATGAGACAATGTGCCGTGGAGAGTTAAACCGACAGGTGGACTGATGCAGTCAAAATACCCTGGAACTTACATACAGATACTCTGCCTCTTGTTTGGCAAGTGTAATATATTCAAGACCCTATTCCACCGAGCTGGGTTGATGTCAAGTGCCTATAAAAGCAATCAAGTAGCTGACCAATGAGAGGGCACTTCATGAATTCAGTGAAAAGATTTGTTGCAGCTTGTTTGCTATCTCAGAAAACCTCTTAGTCCCCGGCTCCAGAGAAAATTACTTTTGTTGAGTTAGCAATGTCGACCCTGAAATTGAGACCTCATCGGGTTTTGTCTTCTGGCTTGTCAAGAACAATTTGAAAACACTGGCACACAAATGGAGTTCAGTTGGAACATATTTGCTAAACAATTTAACAGTTATTTTTTTTATTAGGCAAGTCAATTTAGAACACATTTCTATTGTGAATGTTGAGCCAAAAGGCTTCCTGTGGGAATATTGGCAGGAAAAAAACATTTTTACATGTCAAACAAATTTAGACAGAAGACACAAAACCAAATTATCTAAATTACCTCAGCAAATGCCAAAACACGACACCACAATACCACATGAAGAGGGAACGTACACTATCATAGCAACACAATATTAAACAACAACCTGGCACCAATACAGCATCATGGCAACACAATATTAAACAACAACCTGGTACCAATTAAACATCATAGCAACACAATATTAAACAACAACTTGGTACCAATAAAACATCATAGCAACACAATATTAAACAACAACCTGGCACCAATACAGCATCATAGCAACACAATATTAATCAACATCCTGGTACCAATACAACATCATAGCAACACAATATTAATCAACATCCTGGTACCAATAAAACATCATAGCAGCACAATATTAATCAACATCCTGGTATACCAATGCAACACCACACAACATCAGTCTATAATGACACAACATTATACACAGATGAACTAAAACTGTATTACCATTCACAGGTGAAGCAAATAACATTGATCATCTCATATTAAGGGCACATGTCAAGGACTGGATAGATCAGAAGGTAAGCGAACATAATTTCTCATAGTCATCGTGGATGAAAGTGAAATGGGCACGAGTAAAGACCTGAGTGACTTTGACAAGGGCCAAATTGTTTCAGAGCATCTCTGAAACGACAAGTGTTTTCCTTTAAAATAAAAGGCAATGCTAGAAATTCATTATAGCAATTGGGAACAGCATGACATCTCCCCCTTTAAACAAGTAGTGCACCTTTGCTGTCTTTCAAGCAATGTAAACGTTCACAGGGACAGACAGGTTTCACAGTCGAGACAGCCCTGTTACCTTAAAGAATCGGCCCGGCCCGTATGCATTTGTAGGGTTCCATTGAAGGAGCTCAGCTAGTTCCTGTGACTCAGTTGTCGCCCGCAGGGAGAAGCTAAGTACTGTAGCTGCGGAAGAAGAGGGAGTCGAGACGAGGCTAGTGGCATTAGAGGGACTGGCAGATGAGTAATGGGCACGGAGGCAAACAGGAATCCTGATTTAATAAAATGGCGGTTAAAGAACTCTTCCATTCATACGTTCCTTCTCGGTGACAACTACATAATTTACACTGATGCGCACGAGAAGCTGTTAACAGGAGGGTTTATCTTCCTCTGTTTTCCCGTACCCACAGAAGACCGTCAAATAATTGACTTCATCCTTTCGTCGGGGCAGATTAATGCGTAGGGTTTATCGGGGGCTAAACTTCCTGTGTGGACTATATTTAATCTGCTGTACCAGAAGTTTTTCTCAACAACTCTCAATGAGAAAAAAGCAGCACTATAAAGTGCCTATGACATTTTATTTGAAGGGAAAATGTGTTTGTTTTACTGTCCCAATGTGATCCATCTGGTTGGTCCAGGGGTAGAACATTTTGGGTTCCATTAGGGTTCTACCTGGAAAACAAGAAAGGATTATAATACAATCCTATTCTTATAGCCTGAGAGGAACTCCTTGCTAAATTTGCCATAACAAAGTCTGTCAGCCTGGGAATTTGATTGCCAAGGCTTTTGCCAAATAGTTCCCTTTAGACTGAATAACTCAATAAAACCTACCAAACCTTGAGTGGTTATTACAGTTAAAATTATTCTTCATTATACCCAGTTCACATGGTCATTGATGATGTAAAGACAAAAGTAATTATGGGAAGTCTGCCACACTAGTGACTCCATATGCGTCTAGTCTGAATAAATAATATAGTACCTTACATGAGAACTGTTACCGGCAATTTTAATAACAAAATTCAGTCCACACAGTCTGCAGTGTGTTTTCCCTCCGTCTTAGAGGGGAGAAGGAAGTATGTCAGGAAGAAAACACAATGCATCTGAGGGGCACCGTGGGTGAAATCGGCTTCACCGATTCCAAAAACGTATTTCTGAAGGCTTAAGAGCACTGAGCTTTTTAGCCTACCAGACGGATGAGTAATAGAGCTTTCACCGCTGGTGCGATTTATCTTTTCTTACGGCCAAGTAAGTTATTGCTTGACTATCTCTTAAAATTGCTAGGGTTGATTATTATAAAGATAATAGAAGAAGACATTAGAAGGCAATACGAACGCTCCGGACCTCCAATGTCCCCGCAGACTACATCAATATGCATTTGGTTAAGCAGAAATGGTGTGCCTTCTGTTTAAGAAACACCAAGTACGGTGAGAAATGCTTCTGCAAAATTAATAATGTGTAATAAATGAACCTCCAAACCTCCTAAATTCGATAATAATAATATATATAATATATAATAATTTAGCATATTGAACGGAAGCCTCATTTGCATCGTCTCATAATAAACACGGACAAAATGGCAAACTCCGGCCCTGGGCGAGGCTTATTAACTGTTGATTTACCGAGAGTGTAATGCAATTAGATGCATTTTGTTCAGTATACATTGCTGTTGGGATAATGACTTGGCAACCATTCCTCCCATTAAATCCCGCACTATTAGTTATTTCTCCGTCCCTCTGGTCCTCGAGTAGAGAACAGCTGGAGGTGCCAACGCACAATGACCTGCTGCACAATCATCTGGGAAGTAACCATATAGGAGGAGTTGGTAGCTCAGTGGTAGGGTGCATGTTTGGTATGTATGATGTCCTGGGTTCAAATTTCAGTTCAGTTACTCCCCAGGTCGCCGTTGCAAATGAGAATTTGTTCTCAATCGGCCTACCTGGTTAAATAAAGGTAAAATAAAAAAATATACAGTGCATTCCCATGGCGTTCAAAACCATTGACTCGTTCCACATTTTGTTTTGTGCAACAGTCTGTGTTTAGAATAACCTAAGAAATATTTTTACAAATCGTCACACTTCTACACCCTACACCCCACTTTGGCAATGCCACAAATGCTAATTTGAACATTATTGTTTCTGAAATGTATTTGAGGTCCACCTGTGACCAGTTCAATTGATTTAACATTATTCAGAAATACCTGTGTATACAGGGTGTTAAAGTTGAAAGTGCATATCAGCGCAGAAACCGTACCATGAAATCCAAGGAAGTGGAAGTGTTCCGATGGCTTTAGTGTACTTGTTAAGGTTTATACAACTATCTGGACACTGTTGAAAGTTCCCGTATGCACAGGGCGCTTTATCGTAATTAAATGGAAAAACAATGCACGCACCCACATACTCAACCCCGGCTGCCTAAACGAAACAGCTAACGACGAGCCATGAACTATGGAGTTTCAATCCAGGTGTAATCCAGGCACTGCCACTTGCCAGTGTAAGGCTGTGCCAACGGTAAGGCACGGTAGTGGCAGAGTCATGGTACATGGATGCTTTCCTGTAGCAGGGAACAGGTGACAATGGGGCGGCAGTGGCTCAGTGGGTTGAGTCTGTTGTCTAGGATGTCGATTGGTGGTTCGATCCCCGGTTCCTCCTGGGAAATTGTCCAGGTGTCCATGAGCAAGACACCTAACCCCAGCTGCTCCTGGCGAGCCTGCAGTCGCCTTGCATGGTAGACGCGATTGTCAGTGAATGAATGGGTGAATGTGACGCAGGATCTGTAAAGCGCTTTGGATAAAAGCGCTATATAAAAGCGCAGCATTTACATTTATTTATTTACATTTACATCCAAGGATAGGACAAAACATGTGGCTGTGCCGGGTTGCGGAGGCAGAAAATGTAGAAACTCCAAAGTGCAACTTGAAGTAATGATGTTGATCCACGATATATTGTATCACTCGAAAAAGAGTTGTGAAGATTACCGGCTCTATAAAAACTCACTATCACTAAGTATCACCGTCACAACAAACCCACAGTAGTTCAGTCTGTATCTGAATGTGTTATTTCTGTCCCCACGTAAGTTTGCAACGTGTCGGTGAAATTGGTCCTCGACTCACGTTAGCGGCTTGAACCTTCGACCTCCATCGATTCAGGGTAAATGCTAACCCCCCGCATATAGCGGCTGATCGGTTTAGCTGCTGGACGTGATTTGTTGTGAACGGTCGAGACCCGGAGGGCCGGGTAACATTCTCAAATGCCCAGGCAACCCAATAATAGGTGACCACTGACCTTTCCGTCCTGGTCATTGGTCGCTGGTCATTGGCCTTGTTGAACGCAACTCGATTACGTTCCCTAATGTTCCTCAGAACGCAGCTCTTACAGACAATGGCCATGAGGCAATGTGCGGCACGAATGTCCTAATCTTATTGTAAGAAAAAACATACACAAACCGCTGTTCTGTTGATGCTCCTGGTAACATGGGCGGAGGTTCTGTGGTTTCTGTCTTCCTTTTATTCTCTCATGTTTTCTAAAACCCAGGTCAAATTGAGATGTTGCCATTTCAAAGCAAACCCCGGCCTGTGCGCTTTTTTGCCATTAAGGTTTCGTTATTTTGAAGTTCATCAAGCAGACCGAAATGTTGCCAGTTTAAATGCAGGCTTCCGGATAATTGTAACCATGTATGTGGGGGACAGGTTTTTATATACTATATAGGCTCATTTTTGTGGACTTTTCTGTAGCCTGTGACGAACTCCCACATGCAGGTGGATCCAAGCCTTCTTTAGAAGGTGCTAGAATGGGGCAGGGGTTGGGGGGGGCAGTACGTCAGGTTAAACAGCACAATGTCTTCCAGTAGCAGATGCTGATTACCTGAGCCGCAGGAGCTGTGCTCGGTGGCAGAATGATTGAACATTTTATTTGAGCAGACCTGCTTCCGCTCGTAGCTTGCCTGCGATTATAAAATAACCAGCCTGATTATAGGGCCAACGGTGTCCCAGGTATTGGCTATTCATTTGTCAAATCTCTACGTATAATTAATGGAGTTATTCCCCTGAGTGCCAGCTCAATAGCCCACACATAACTTGACAAGGTGAATTAGCTTCGATAACACTTCAAGGTTTTGTCTATAAATGCTTGCCTGGTGGCCTTTGTTCATCGACGTTGCTACATTAGCTTTCTTAGAGATACATTCTTCCTATGATATTTTTGGCTTCGCCTAGCATGACTGGTCTGAGTGAACGTTATGGACGTGCTCTGCTTGGATGCTGCTTCTTCCCTTGTGCAAAGTGCAGCATTATATTGCTGTGTTAATGTCAACACCCCAAATTGGTTTATGAACATTGTGCTGTAAAAGCAGTGAGATAAACCCCTCCAAAGTCACTGCTGTAATCTTCCCTTGTTGCAAGCAATTGCTATGCAGTCCCAGTGCTAGGCACTAGACTCGACAACAAGGACTGCTGCTGGAAGAGTAGAACAGGTCGAACAGGTTGAACTGAAAAACTTCATGCTTTGAACAATGGATATTTTAGAAATAGTTCACCAGACTTTTATACATTTTCTGATTAAATCAAGTTCATCACTGGTTCTTTCGTTGGTAAAAACATTTCCCCAAGGCTCTATCTTCTCCCCAGGGATATACTTTATGTAAGCCCAAATTGGTGTGCCAGGCAGTCGTGAGTGGTGGTGAACCGGTACCTTAAAACCATCATGGACTGCACACTTAATTTGAATGGCACCACTTTGAAAATCAATAAATATCAACAACTCTCAATCTCGACGCAGACCATAACACCTGAATGCGAATGGCAGGCTGCTTTCCCACTGCTACACCTATCTTTTTATAGAGGATGCTGACAGTTCCTAGCCACGTCAACCTCAGATGGACTGTGAACCTGAGCTGAAGCTTGTGGGGTTGTAATACAGAGGACTTTAGGGCTTCTATGATTGACAGGTGAGGGTAGGCTAAGAGGAAGCCGACAGAGGTCGGTCCAGTTTTGTTCCATCAGACCTCAGAATTCTCTGCACTGTGCCATCAGACAGGCCTATTTGTTGTGTATGTGATTTCTAAAATATGTTTTTTTTAAATAGGGTTATAAAATCTCTGATATCATATGTGTTCTGTATTATAGATGCATTTATAGATGAGGTTTTGCTTTCCAACGTGAAAAGGAAAAATAAAAATAACATTTTGTTTCTTTGGGAAGAGGTGTCCCTACTTTGTTAGTGTAATTACATTTCAAATATCAGCCTGAGTAATACCGTGTGTGGTTAAAACACATTGTCTTTCATGTGAAGGATGTGAATTTAAACACTTTTCACAATTCAAAAAGTACTTATTTAAATCTCAGTCCATCAGGTGTTATTATGAACGTGTAGTATGTATATTTATTCATCTCCCTGAGGCTAATGCGTTTGAAGTAGGTACTCAATTGACAGACCACTGTTTTTCCCTCTTCATCTGCACATACACAGAAAGATTAAATGAGGCCCCGTACTTGTTTAGACAAACACTTGTTTTCCACTAAAGCAGCCGCGCACAGCATTTCCTTTCCAACTGTGCTCTTTTTTCTCCAGTGACACATCATGTTGTCACATCAAACACACTGGTGCTCCACACACGGATGCACATTACAAGTATGCAATAAAGGTAGCTTGATGCGGAGATAAATAATCGCGCCTATTTCCTCTTCTGGGTTCCTCTGCAAGCACAAGTTTATCGATCCAATTCTTGACCTGGGTCATTGTGCGTGCATGCTCGCGTGCGATGATGACACCACAATGACTTCTCTGCTTCGGAATGGGGATGTTGAATCTCATGTAGCATGTAGCATGTAGCGGCGCGTAAAGGTAACTGTGAGATCGCGTTTGTATTTGCTAGCTAGGGACTTGGTGTCCCTGTATGCCATAACCACATCGACTGGTCGCTATTACGCCGTGCATTTGTGACTCATATCTGTGTTGAATGAATGTCAACAATCCAACTGTATGCGTCTGAATATTGCCACAGATCAGCCTCTGTATTGGCCTTAGAACAGAATGGTGCGGTTGGCAAAGCTCCACACTGTGTGGATGTAGACCTCACAGCGGTCGTGCTGTCTGGCTCCACACTGTGTGGATGTAGACCTCACAGCGGTCGTGCTGTCTGGCTCCACACTGTGTGGATGTAGACCTCACAGCGGTCGTGCTGTCTGGCTCCACACTGTGTGGATGTAGACCTCACAGCGGTCGTGCTGTCTGGCTCCACACTGTGTGGAATGTAGACCTCACAGTGGTCGTGCTGTCTGGCTCCACACTGTGTGGAATGTAGACCTCACAGCAGTCGTGCTGTCTGGCTCCACACTGTGTGGATGTAGACCTCACAGCGGTCGTGGTGTCTGGCTCCACACTGTGTGGATGTAGACCTCACATAGTTCATGTCTGCTCCACACTGTGTGGATGGAGACCTCACAGAGTTCATGTCTGGCTCTACACTGTGTGGATGGAGACCTCACAGAGTTCATGTCTGGCTCCACACTGTGTGGATGGAGACCTCACAGCGGTCGTGCTGTCTGGCTCCACCCTGTGTGGATGTAGACCTCACAGCGGTCGTGCTGTCTGGCTCCACACTGTGTGGATGTAGACCTCACAGCGGTCGTGCTGTCTGGCTCCACACTGTGTGGATGTAGACCTCACAGTGGTCGTGCTGTCTGGCTCCACACTGTGTGGATGTAGACCTCACAGCGGTCGTGCTGTCTGGCTCCACACTGTGTGGATGTAGATCTCACAGCGGTCGTGCTGTCTGGCTCCACACTGTGTGGATGTAGACCTCACAGCGGTCGTGCTGTCTGGCTCCACACTGTGTAGATGTAGACCTCACAGCGGTCGTGCTGTCTGGCTCCACACTGTGTGGATGTAGACC